CCCTACAGTGAAAATCTCTCCAAAAAAAAAAAAAAAAAAAAAGAAGATACTTGACAATGAAGTTAGGAACAAAGTGTCATGATCTCTGCAACTTATTTTTATATGGTTCATCAAAAATATAAGTCTGAGAGACATGAAATAAATGAGGCAAATTGTTAACATGTGATAATTATATATGGCGGGTAAACAGTGTTCATTATACTATTTTTCAACTCATTTCTAAAGGTTTGCACATTTTCTAACTAAAAGGTTGTGAGGAAAAAAGTTTAGGTAGAAATAAAAAGAAGAGGGAAAACTGCATAATAAGTGAGACTTAAGGGAAACCAATTCGATGTGTGAATCTTGTTCAGTTCCTGATTCAAACAAATCAATTGTAGAAAACATGAGGCAACCAAGAAAAACTTGAACACTGATGAGATATTAGATAAAAGAATTATGATGATACAAGATTGACCATATGAAAATAATTGTTGAAGCTGAGTCATGGGTATGTGGGGAATTATATTATTTATCTATTTTCATGAGTTTGAAAATTTCCATAATAAAAAGTAGAGAGATCAAGTTAAAATGAACTAGTTATGTTGGGCTTTTTTCGTGAGTAGGTGATTAACTGAAGAAGTATCTAAATGTGTCTCTATGGTTCTTTATTATTAAATAATCACACAGAAGAACAGATTGTGAAATCAAGATTAGTATCTGAGTTTCCCTCACAATAGTGATTTTAAGTGAATTTGGGGGAGGAACCGGGGGGAGGTCAAGGCTATGTGGAAGTAATCATCTTTCTATTTTTTCCCTTTTATTTTCATTCTCTCAATTTCCCTAATGCATGAGGCACCTGAGCAACATAAAGAAAGCTAGAGCTGGGTCATTATCCTCTTCACTTCTGAAGCTGATGGAATGGTATTTATTGCTTCCACTTAAGTTTGAGAACCTCAAGATTGTGTATTTAATCAGTCATTTATTTAGCTAGTGGAGTTTTTACTCTGCATTTTCAAGACACTTCTATGGCTTCTGGTGCTAATTTAACATTTTTGATGAAGATTTAACATTGGGTGATGAAGGAATTCAGGAAGATCATAGAGACCCTCCTCCCCCCAAAATATCCATTAGTCCAATAAAGGTGAAAAATGCTATACTATTGACTCCTTGTTTGTTAGGAGGACTATGAGGCCTACATTCAGATATGTCTTAGGAAATGAGAGAAGGTGGTTTCGGCCCCATAGTGGTCCTAACTTTAATCTAAAATAAAATTTTGCAATTAAATAGGACAATATCATATTTTGTTTCTGTGTTCTAGAAAGGGATGGGATTCAAATTAAACAAAATGTGGATTAGATACATGTACTTTAAAGTCTTTCTAAAGGAAACATTAGAGGGTATTAATTTCCAATTAATAATGTAAACCATAAAGAAGAAAACAAGAGTAGATAAGGCTAGACACACACACCCACACAAAATTTCATAATTAAACTTTGAAAATATTTAGAAAACAAAATCAAACTTATGAATGGCAGACTTAATAGGGAGAACATGAAAATAGATTTAGAATTGATATCAAATCTGGGACCTAAAAGGAAAAAAAAACACTTGGACCCAGTTACCATAGTTGCTTAACTTAGTACACAAGATAAGGGAAGCGAATGTGCACTATTATTAACCTTTGAACATGGTTTTCCTTATGTAGTCTAAATATTTATTAAAATAATTAAAAAACTGTGTACTCTTCACAAGTATAAGATATATGTAACTGAAAATACATCAAGTACTACACATAGATATTTTTCCTCAAGTGTCTTTATCTGCACTGTAGGTTAAAGTTTGTATTTAGGATTTGGACTTTTCAGTTTGAGTATCTTTAAAGTCAAATACTAGGCATTCAAAATTGTAAGCATTTGTATAATCAAATCTTTCTATGTTTCCCTTCCTTCATGTCACTTTATCTGTAGTAGGTTTGAAGTGCCTCCCCTTCCATCAAGAAGTTGAAAGTACTTCCCCACCCATTCAGCACAGGCCAGCAAAGTGATGCACTTTGACTAACAGAATGTGGTGGAAGCCTAGCAGCTTCTACTCTTGTCCTTTTGAAATATTATGGTCTGTGACTCCTTGAGTCTGCGAGGCCATGTGGAGTGACAGCCTGCAGACAGCTGACCCTGTCTGTACATGATGAGGACTGCCTAGACAATTATGTCCCAGCCTGCATTGCCAGGTGGCTGTAGCTGCATGAAGGACCCTAGGCAGGACCAGCAGAACTGCCCAGTTGAGCCTAGTCCAAATTGCTAACACACAAAATTAGTTCATTCCTGTTTCCACACTTTTCCTGACCTCTGATGCTAACTATCACTTTTCACTTATATTGGTCCTTACTTTACACACCCATTTCTTTGATGATCTTTGGTCCTCTGACATGGTTTCCATGGTTTTCGGACCTTATATTTACTGGTTCATTCTTCTCTGGGCATTTTCCAGCTTGCCAAATTTCTCTTTAAATTGTGTGGCACTAAGAATTGACAACAGCATTTCAAATATGATTTGCCACTTTTAATTCTTGGTGTCTTTGTTCTTGTTTCCCTAAAGTCCCTGGCATAAAACAAGCCCTAAAGCATTAGCTTCCTCTTCTTACCTCTCATGTTCTTAACCTGTCCCCCAAGAGGCAGTTTTTCTCGTTCCTCAAAGGCCAAGTCCTGTATCTCCGTTACAATGTTTTCTCTATCAGAATTTGTTCCTGTACTTTTAGTGTTGTATTGGTATAGCTTTTCCTCTGTGTTAACGCTGGCTGTGGAGGGGTCTGACTCCTTGGCTAGCCTATAAATGCCATTTAAACTTGCCTTTTGTACCTTAACACTTCACATAGTACTTGGCACATGTTACATGCTCAATAAATGTTTAATGGGTTGGATAATTAATCACTACTCTTTGGGTAGTAAAATATATTATCTTCTGGTCCATAGTTCTCCGCAGTCTATCAAGAGAGACTGTCAGATTTCTGTTTAAGTGAAGGTATGAATTTCCCTGTTTACTGTTAAAAAAAGAGAACGTATGTGGTTGAGAATTATTTTTCATCTATCTTTGCTGTCTTCTTTTTAAGTGCTATCAAGTCTTCTGAAGAATTTTGACAGAAGTTTATTCACCATTTCTGGAATGTATATTCATTCAATTAATGAAAATTGAGGCATTTGTGTGATTTTGGTCTTTCACCTCTCTATTATTCACTGCAATAGTATTTATAACAACCTAGCTGGTGAATTTAGCCTCATTAACAAAATAACAGTACTTTATATTTGTAAAGTGCCTTACTGATTAAAAAAGTTTTCCAACACCTTACCTCATTTGAGCCTTCCTAGAAGGCGCATGTTTATTGTTCTTTGGGGATTAAGATAATTCCGTAGATGGACAAGAAAAACAGCAAGAACAAAAAGGACCTGAACAGCTTTGCTTTCTCTCTGTATTTTCTGCTCTTGTCATTCTTCAACCTTCAACTTTTAAATATTTTCTTTTTCTGAGCAGGTTCTGTGGCCATACTTTCCATTTGCTGGTTGAAGGTGATCTGAAGTTAGAGTTATGCTGTTGAAAACTGTAAGGAAAAAGAAACATAGACTAGTTTTGTCAGGCACTGTGTTTCCCCATGTTACTAGGTGATCATCATTACCTAGCATGGGTGTACCCTCAGCTTTTACTGATGACAGAAGGAGGTCCAGAAGAACCCCCGCCTGCACCCCCGATTACTACCTACTTTCTGCCAAGAAATAGGCAAAGTACAGATATTGAGTGGAAGCATCTTCTCTTGGAGTTATTTTGTTCAGAACTTACTTCGTTTTAATTTTTGCTTTAAGGGATACAACTACATGGTGGTTTTTCTTTTTGTTGGTGATACTGTTATATTTGGATACAGGGTACTAGAGATTTAGGCAGGCATGGGTAATATTGGGTCTACTCTTCCTTTCTCCTTTTTGGCTTCCCCTCACCCCTATTTGGCTTAGGTCATTGTTAAAATGTAAATATGTTCCCTAATAGGGTAGCATACACATATCACCTTTATCTACATTTCATACCTCAGCAAGAACTAGTTTCTCAGATGGGTCCTTACAGAGAACAGAGCTCCAAGGAAATGGGACCCAGTACAGGTAAGAGATTAGGGGGCAAAGGGAAGGGCTGCAGCATGGGGGCATGGCACCTGTGGGCAGCTCTTGGGAGGGCACTGGTGCCTTGCAGAAGGGTCACGGGGACTGGTGCCCAGGAGGAAAGATGGTCACCATGCCCTCAATTTAGCCTCAGAGTTTCATTGTGAGCAGTCGTGGCTGCTGCACAGTCCAGGGCAGTGACCAGCGCCCCTTACGTTCAAAGGTGGCAACACACATATCCACCTCTTGGCTCTCTCTTGCCTGCTGTTAAGGAGTGATGCCTTCTAGAGATAATAAGCATCTCTCTTTTAAAATTCAGTTTCAACAACTCAAAAATTGGTGGTCTCAGGATTATAAACTGCTAGATGTTAGAGATGGAAGGAAATTGTTTTACTGTGGGTATATCTATAATAATAATAATAATAAAATCTTTCATTTCTCTACTTTCCAGGCAATTGCAACATGATTTTCCCAGAGCCCTGATTTTTAGCACGGATGATTTTTTCTTCAGGGAAGATGGTGCCTATGAGTTCAATCCTGACTTTCTGGAAGAAGCTCATGAATGGAACCAGAAAAGAGGTGATGAATTTCTTTTCAAACTCTTGGGAAACCCTGTTATGCATGAAGGTTATAGCTACTGCAGAGTAAATAAGTTTTACGGAAGCAGCTTAATCAAAAGTCCTGCCATTTCTCCCTCTCCCCAAAACAACTCCACAACATAACCTTCTTAAATTTCAGGAGAAAGATCATTATTAATAATGGGTTTTGAAACAGGCATTAAGGTTGTGTAATGAGGACATCCTGTAATAAAAATGACAAAATATGGATTACGCTCAGCCTTCTGATTGTTGTATGTTGTTCACTGTTATATAACGTTGTGTTGCAGCAAGAAAAGCAATGAGGAATGGCATATCCCCCATTATTATTGATAATACCAACCTCCACGCCTGGGAAATGAAGCCCTATGCAGTCATGGTAGGAAGAAGTATCATTCTGAATTTTCAGTTATGGACATTTTGTGAGAAAGTTGCAACATTTGTTCTTTCCTCTTTTTCTGATCATCCATGATTTTGTATTTACTAACATAGTTCTCCCAGGCAGCAAGTAAAGAGGTTTTATTTTAGTGTTTCTCTGCTGCTCAATGACTGACATTTGCTGAGATATTAATCTCACTTCAGGGTATAATTTTTAAATAGTCCTCGGTAAATGATCCTTGGTCTAAATTCTTGATAGGTTTTCTGTCTTTGTTATTTTTCCTAAGGGGAGGCATATAGAGTAGTACTCACTAAAACTTGCAGAGAAATATTGGACTAGATGATACCACTAACACAGTTACAGGTTATAATATTACAATCCTGTCTTTGGCAAGCTAGGCATTTCAGCACTGTGTACTGTTACTGCCTGGAAATTACAGGGTAACAGAATTTTTCAGTTTAGAAACAGATTTAGGATTAACACTATAACCCTATTAATACTGTAAAATACAAAAACACATACACAAATACTCAGTTCTCCATTGTCAGAATAGAAAAATAAAGTGAATATAACAATCTGCACACTAATCTTTAATTTTGAGGTGTATCTGGTTGTCTCTTATTTTCTATTTTGTCTTTTATGATAGTAAAATAAATTTGCATTCCCATTTGGTCATAGAAAGGAGAAAAGACCCAGAAATGTACAGGATGGGCTGGAAGTGACAGCCGAATCTTTACTTTTGTCACACACAGTCCCCCTGTTTATGGGTGAAGAGAATAGTTCCCAAATTGGTCTCAGAGCAGTCTTTTTAGGTTTCTTTTTACATTTCTGGCAAAACACCATCCTGATAGGTGTGCTTTTCTCTAAAACTTTCATCAGTTTTGCTTAGACTGAGATTGTGGGGCTGTGGAGAATGTAAGAAATGATGAGCATCATCAACCTTATGGTTACTTCAGCTCTTGAGTGACAGTGCAGGCAAGAAATGAACAGGGACACGGAGAGTTGAATGATTTAAGCCACAACTCAAAACCAAAAGTTAGGGATTTACTGAAGTGGCTTAAGATAAATAATTTTACTTTTTATTTTCTGTATACATAAGGGAATGCCAAAAAGTTCATGGAAAACTGAAATTAATGTATGAGTTTATTGATTTAAAAGGTTTCTTTTGCAAGACAAAGAGAACACCTCCAACAGGGTCTTGAGGCCATGATCCATTCCTAGCTTCAGCCAGCCCTGAACCATGGACATTTATGTGCCCAGTGTACTCAGGGAACTCTCTGGATGCAAGCCCAGAGCCTTGCCATGTGGATCAGCTTCGCAGAATGTTTTGTTTTACTCTGCGCCATCTAGCCTTATTAAGAATTAATTCTGGTGCAAAATGTTCTTGAAATTTGTGTATAGTTTTTTCATAATACATTTTCTATGAGATATTTGAAGACTCCTCATACAATCTTTTTTAGCCATCAACAGCTATTAGTTAGACTGATATAAAACTGAATGCTTCTCTAAACAGAAGTGCCCATCTGAAGAACGAAGAGGAAATCTTTTTCCTTACCCTTTCACTTTGTATTTTATTATACAGTAAACTATAGTGAGGATAGAGAGTTTGGCTAGAGATAAAGTAGTAGTCAATTTATGAATGAAAAAGTGGATGTTAATAGTTTTCTAAATCAAAGAAATGGGGCACAGAGCATCGAACCAAGCTATATTGAATAACAGGGAGAGTTACTTTCAGAGAGATTAGGTAAAGTATGTGGGAATCATTTTTATTTCATAAGCCATGTTTTCCTATGGCACTCTCACTTACTAAAGGCATGAAGAATAGGACAAGACATTGACAGAAGTAATCACATAAGGAACTTTGAGAAGTCATTGAATTCATTTGTCATACCTTTACTCAGGACATTTTAAACTAGTTATCTATTTTTTAATATGTCCAAAACAAAGAACCTTTACAGTTTCTCTCCACACAAGATAAAATGGACCAAAATTTATCTTTGGGAACCATAATGTGATCTGAGAGCAGCTCTGTATGGGAAGGAACCAACTGCATTTATTAAGATAAATTAAGGCATTGGATTACTGGTAAAACAAATTTTAGAAAAGATTTGTAGTAAATGTTAAATGGCAGCATAAACATTCCCAAACATGTATGTCTTCAATGTTTTATGTACCTTTGAAAAATCAGGCACTTGAAAATAACTATGAAGTTATATTCCGAGAACCTGACACTCGCTGGAAATTCAACGTTCAAGAGTTAGCAAGGTACTTCTTTGTTTTTCTAGTTCCTCATTATGTATCCTGCTGTTTTCAGGTATTTCAGACCGAACAAAGAATCTTTCAGGCTGGAAATGGACATGGTAGTTTTCAGGCCAGAAATGGTAAATCTTGGAAATTGACAACTTTGGAATTATTAATGTGAAGACTTTTAGTTTGGGGTCAGTTTCTAATATAATGCTAAATGCTAAATCTTGGCTTGGACTTGGTCCTTTAAGACGGTGCATTTAACATTCTGCTAAAATGCTTCTTCATTAATGAACATGTAAAAGTATTGTCCTCTGCATGGGATTACACGTCAGTGGTAGTTTTGCGTTTAGGTGAAAGGTTTTTAGATGCCTAATAGTCTGAGGTTTATTTATGGTCTTGATCCTGCTTCTAATTTATAAGGCAATAAATGTCCAAACCATACTAACATGAGTGAATGCATGGGTTCTGATATGCAGTGTTATTGGATAGTATCAATGACTTGACGTAACCAGAGAAATAAGAATTTACCTTTTAGGAGTAAGGTTAGGTTGCCTTATAGTTATAAGAGGGTTGTTTTCCAGAGTAGGTCTTTCAACTATCCCTATCAAAATCACCTTAAGGTGGTTGTGAAAAATTCTAGTTCATGGGCCCTATTTTATAGTTGGAATCTCTAGTCATTGTGTACTTATCTATATCCCTTGATTTTTGTGCCCATTAGAGTTTTGGATTTTTCTTAAAGAATTATTTAATTTTATTATTATTTTAAATTTGACCAGAGAGAGAAAGAAAAAGGGAAAGTGAGAAAGCAAGCTGCCAGATCCAGGATTCAAACCATGATCAGCCATGTGGTAGTCCAGGACCTTAATTAACCATGTTATCTGCCAGCCTCAAGATTGTTTTGATAACCCCATTTCTTAGGAGCATCAGGAACTGATTTGCTATAAATTGATAGATAAATGCATTTATTAAGAAGCAAATATATGACACAAAAAATCTTGGGGTGTTCTTGTGTCTTGAAGCACATCAAGATGATCAGAAACAAAGCATTTTGAATCTTCGGCTCTTTGCTAGCCTCAGGATAATTTGGGGATGTACAGGGCAGCATGAAAAGCAGCAGCAGACCCCAAATGAGAACTTCATAGCAATATGTTATATTTTGTTAAAGTCCTGAGAATAGGGAATGCACTATCTATGCAGTGATGGGAAACTTGTAAAATATAAGTAACTCATTTTGATATCCTGTCTTAACTAAATGTTTGCATTTTTTTTTTCCATGTAGAAGAAACATTCATGGAGTCCCAAGAGAAAAAATACACCGAATGAAAGAACGGTATGAACACGATGTTACCTTTCACAGTGTGCTACATGCAGAAAAGCCAAGCAGAATGAACAGAAACCAGGACAGGAATAACGCATCGCCTTCCAACGGTGCAGGATACTGGAACACCTACGCAGAGTTTCCAAGCCGGAGGGGGCATGGCGGCTTCACAAATGAGAGCTCCTTTCACAGAAGGGGTGGCTATCACCATGGATATTAGAGGCCTATCTTATAGCCATCCAAAATTTTCTTGAATCAGTTTTTACTTTTGGTAAAAAGTAAAATTTTTGGTATTTATTCTTTGTTCAATTTTAGTAAGAGCTCTAATTCCAGTGCAGATAGTTGAATGCAAATGTTTCTAAGCAGAAGTCCTTATATTCATTATCTCAACAAGCATTTCTTAAAGTGCTCCTATATACATGGTCTGAGGCTGGAAATTCTGCACCTGATTCTGATTAAACGAAGTCTCTTTCTCTAGGGCAAGAATTTGAAACTGAAACCTGAGAACATACCCAACATACTAATTGGTTATGAAATTAGTCACATAGCTCCATAAATCAAAGAAAGTGTTTATATTATATATGTTTCAGTATCACTTTCTCTGAAATAATCTGTTTGTTTTTTCAGGAAATTCATCTCCATCAGGAAAGTTGGAAAGGTGGGAGAGGAGAAGCGGGAGGCAGGAAAAGTTTTAGTGCTACTGCTACTTTGATAATTTATGTACCCTAAAATGTGAGATGTATGACTCTAATGATACTGATTTTCCTTTAAAACTAATATGCTAGAAATCATACATCTAAGGGAGTATTGGCCTTCAGAGTGGACATTTTGGTAAGTTATTTCTTTCTTTTAATGATGTGTCATTGTTAAAAATGCCTGTCAAATCCTTAATAGCTATATAGCTACTGAGGAAAATCAGTGTCATTATTTAAAGTCACACCTTGTATTTTATTTATTTTGCTTTATTCAACAGAATTAAACCTGAATTACTTTGGGCTGCTGCTAATAGTGTACGTGAAATAAGCCTGCCTTCAGGAAATGCCAGGATTTAAAAGGAATAACTAGACGATTCAAAAAAAATTATGCCTGTAAACATCTGCATAATTAGCTGGCAGCCCCAACATTTAGGAGTGTAAGAAATTAAACATACCAGGGTATACATTATACCAGGATATATAAAAACCATGCTCATTAAAAGATCATTAGTCTTAATGGTTTTTATGTAGCATTAAATCTAGAATGTTCCTCTTATACTGATACTGAATTTTTTGAGTCCAAATTAAATTCTAGCAGGTTAGAATCAGACCATATGGGATAATGCTCTATTTCTTGTTGGCCAACAGCTTCTTTCTACTGTTCTGTGAAGTATTTTGTGTCCTATAAATGGTGCTTTTATGGTTATTTAAATTGTATATGGTATTGCATTTATATGGATGTCATTGAATCTTTTTATTTTGCTCAACAATAAAAAATTTAATTACCTAAATTCCAATGAATTCAACCATATAGTAGCCAATTTTTCTATAAGATTTACAAGTTTTAATATAGGAGGCATAAAGGCAAAAAGCAACTGCACATTTTACTTGCTTACATAAATTGATATATACACGAGAAAGACTACTTTAATACTCCATTATCTAATACTGTTGAAATTTGCTTATCCTGACAACTGTCAGCAATGCATCTGTAATTTCTTCTTTATCAAAATTTTTTAAACTGGCGGGACCAGCAGATAGTGTAATGGTTACGTCACTGGACTCCCATGTAGTCGACTACGGTTCGAGTCCTGGATGAAACAGCTTAAAACTCATGCCAGGAGTGTGTGTGTGCAAGCCCAAAATCCTAGGAGGAGTTTGAAGGAGAAGGGATTGTGGCATGGGCATGCCCCTGGGGGGTGATTTCTCACTTTCTGTCTCTCTGGGTGAGCGCATGCGGCCTATAGCAAAAAATCTCTTAAAAAACAAACAACTTTTTGAACTGGCATCTCCTTTGAGTAACAGTTTGTTTGGCAAGCATAAAATAGAAATTTGAACTTATCTAAGGTGTTATCATAATTTTGTTAAATCCTATGTGTCCAAGCATACAAAATTCTTAATAAGGATAATCCACTTAATAATACTATTTTCCTGGCCCAGGTAATCCTGGGTATCTTAGTCAATATGGTTATTGCAGAACCAGCTCAAAATGGATAGTTTAACTCATCAAGGCTAGTGGATGAGAGTAGTGTCAGAGAGCCCCAAATACCCGCCTTTGATTGATAGAAGCAGTCAAAAGTACCAGAGTCAAGCCCTCCTGATTGGCTGGTTCTCTGTTTAGGGTTTTTGGTTCATCTTGCCTGAGCTGAGTAACTACTATGGAGAAGTGACTCTGGTCTATAGACCAAAAGGTTTTATAGAGCACTAAAGAAGTTTCCCAGCCTGTTCATGGCTCTTCTTTTCCCAAAAGACTCCTGAATTCTTGGAAACACAAAAATAATTAGGTGCTGCCAACTTTATTCCATCTGAAAAGATCTATTTTCCCTCTCAACTCTCATAACTCCTAATTTATATACTTTTTGAATCCTCAATACTCATATTATTTGGTGTTAACTTGCGTCTTTCGTAAAGCTGGCAACTGCTTTACGTATACAATAGGCTCATTAAGTGACTGTTGAATAAGTAACAAATTACTTTTGTCACTTATACTATCATGTAGTATACACTGACTCTGTAATACTTGTTATTTTTCAGGGAATAATATACTTGTATACTCGGAACCAGCAGTTAGCATAATGGCTATGTCGCTGGACTCCCATGTAGTCAACAGTGGTTCGAGTCCTGGACCTGGCGGCTTAAACTCACGCCTGGCTTGGGTGTGTGCGTGCCCAAGATCCCGAGAGAATGGAGAAGGGATTGTGGCATGTCCAACCCCCCTGGGGGGTGATTTCTTGCTTTCTTTCTTTCTGGTGAGCACACATGCCCTATAGCAACAACCTCTCAAAAAAAAAAAATACATATATACTCAAGCTTCATACTTTGTTTGTGTAGCTTTAATATTATTTATAATCTATACAAAGGAGTATGTGCATTAGATATCACCGTAATGGGTGATCTAAATGAGAATGAGAATGGAGGAGGTAATAGGTTTTCTAAAATTAAAAAAGGTTATTTTCTTATACATATAATTCTTCCTGCTCACCTGAGACTCAAGTTTTTGTTCTTTTTAAAAAATTATTTATTTTTATTTGCCAGAGGGCATATGTATTCACTGAAGACAAAAGAGAAAGTGAGAAAATATATCCTATGGGGCATGATCTTGCCACAATCCTTCTCCATCTCCATTCCCTTTTGGGATTTTGGGCACACATGTACATGCACTGATGTGTTTTTCAAGTGGCTGAGTCTGGGACTGCAATTGCATAGTTGGCCATGTGGGATCCAGCCACCTTAACCATGAGCCCATGGACTGGCCCAAATTTTTTTTTTTTTTAATTTTATTTGTTCCCTGAGTGAAAGAGAGAGAGAGACCAAGCAACAGCATCCCAAACAGAATCTTTCAGGCAACAATTTACCCCCAGATCATAGGCACATAAGAACATGGAACCTTCCTACGTGGGTCAGCCCTGCAGAGTGTTGTATGTTATAGCTGTGACACTATCAGACACCATGACTCAAGTTTTGCTCTCTATACTAGAGTGGATCACTCACTGGGTTAATGATTAGGCTGTGAAGACTAAATTGTCTTATGAACAAAATTTAAATCACATTAATACAACAAGGAGAACACTTAAGTTAAAAATAATAGCACAATAGACTACAATGATTATACTAATAATTTTAAGGTGAGAGAAAAATCAGAGATTACAGTTCTGGAATGGGACAGGCTGATTTTAAAATATTTATTCTTGGTTTTGGAATGTATTTATAATTCAATTTGAAAACATGATAGTATATATAAATTTGACATTTTAGAACACCTGATTTCAGAGCTTTTCCACACTATTAGCTCCTACTTAGAACTGCTTTATCTCCTCCCCCCTTAAATTAAATGTAAGAAAGTAACAAAAGTGTTATCTTAAATTGAACTTACCTTCTGCCTTTGTGGTAGGTTTAAAAGAGAAAACTTTATGAGTCCTCTAATAGAGCTAAAATAAAGAAAGTAGAGTGAGTGCCATAATGAAAGCAATTCTCTGAATGGCTATGTTGCCGGACTCTCATGTAGCTGACTGCGGTTTGAGTCCTGGACCCGGTGGCTTAAACTCACACTGGGCACGTGTGCGTGTGTACCTAAGATCCTAAGAGGAGAATGGAGGAGAAAGGACAGCGGCGTGGCCATCCCCTGGGTGTGTGTGTGTATGTGTGATTTCTCGCTATCTCTTTTCTTCCCATATGAAGGATAATCTTGCTGGGTATAGTATTCTTTGTTGAAATTGCTTTTCCCTTAACACTTTTAATGTATTTTCCCATTCTTTCCTCACTCACATTGTTTCTGATGAGAGGTATGCTGTTAGCCTGATGGGATATCCTTTGTAGGTAACTTGCTGTTTTTCTCTTGCCAATCTTAGTATCTTGTCTTTGTCTGTGGTTTTGGTCAATCTGGCTATAATGTGTCTTAGAGAAGATCTTCTTGGGTTGATCATACTTGGGGTCCTTTGTATTTCTTGGGACTAAATCTTTACATGCCTCTCTAGGTTTAGAAAGTTTTCTTGGAGGATTTCATGGAATAGATTATCAACGACCTTATGAGTCTCTCGTCTTCTGGGATACCAATTAACAGATGTTTGGAAGTTTGATGGTATCTAGTATTTTTCATGTATTATTCTCATTTTTGGGGGCAATTTTCTCAGTATTTGTGGTGGGTTTTTCTAGGCCAGCAATTTTCTCTTCTATGTCTGAGATTCTATTTTCTGTATGATCTAGTCTGCTTTTAATACTTTCAAGGGAGATTTTGACTTTCTGTATTATATAGTCTTCATCTCTAACAGGTCCATTTGATTCTTTTTTAAAGTGTGTAATTCCTCTTTTAGATCTTGCAAGAATTTCCTCACCTCCTGGAACTTGTCAACTCCTTTCTCCTGCCTCTTCCCCAGTTCATTGTTTCTCTTCTCTTCCATCTCTGTTAGCTTCACCATTATGAATATTCTTTTCCCTTGGAGGAGAGGTATTTTCTTGCTTTCCCATATTTCTTGTGGCCCTGCAGTGATTTCTAGCCATCTGATGGATAGTATGTTTTTCTCCTAATTCTTGAAGTTCAATCTGCATGTTCAGAAGCATGCAGAAGGAGGTGATCTGGAATCTTTTTGCTGTTCCACTTTTATTCCTTTGTACTGCAGATTCAGTAGATATTGAGGAATGTGTTGACCCTAATAGTATTTGATTTTTTAAAAGAATTTTATTTCATTCATTCATTCATTCATTCATTTATTTTAATTTGATTGAAAAGTGAGAGAGAGAGAGATAGGGAAACTGAGAAAGCAAGTCACCAAGTCCAGGACTTCTTGAACCATGGTCGATCATGTGGAAGTTTCCAGCACCTTAACCACCACACCACCTGCTGCCCCCTCCCCCCCCCCCCCCCCCCCCCCTTCGTTTATTTAATTTGACCAGAGAGAGAGAGAGAGAGAGGAAGCGAGAAAGCAAGCTAAGCCTGGGACTCCAACCATGATCAGGCATGTGGGAGTGTCCAGTGCTCTAATGACCATGCCACCTGCTGGTCCTGCAGTCTGGATTACTTTAAGGATTAAGAATTGGATAAAGAAAGCATCAGTATAAATCTTATTCGTCCTGGATTTTGAACATTCTCAAACTACACAACAACCAACACAAAGCATTAAGTTATAGAAAGTTCTCTCTCTCTATATATGAACAAAAATAATAAAATAAGAACTAAACTAAAAAGAATGATCTGAGTTAAAATAATTATTTAGAAAATCCGTTTCATTTAAAAAATGACACAAAGTAGAATAAAAGGGTATATTTATTTCACTTATAAAAATAATATTTGTAGTGATCAAATCCATTAATAGAGGTTTAAAGGAGTTTTTTCTTGATTAGTTAAAACATATATGGTCCATTTTAAGGTATACAACTGAAACAAAATATGGAACTTGACAAAACATCCCTTTGACATACAAACTCT